GAACCTGCAGTGAGTGAGGTAGAGGGTCGGTTGGAGGGGGGTCCCTTCTGAGGCGGCAGGGGGCCTGGTAGCACTCTGCCCAGCCTGGTGCCTGGGGCTCCCTAACACCTCCTACAGCTCCTGGGTTGGCTCCGGTCTTGGCCATTCCTTACACCCTCCCAGTATCTTTTCATTAAGTCCCTTTTTTGCTTTTATCAGGGAGAATTGGCTTCTGTTGCTTGTTCAGTGAAACAGTGCATCGGGAAACCAGACTATTTCTAACATCAGTAAAATACCAACCTCGGTCACCTCGCTGGGCAGACCGTGCAGCACAGAGGCCTGCACAGGGCTGTGCCAACGGCTTACGTGAAGGGTCCTCATCATCTGTCTTCAGAGATACAGAAGCTGGTGGTTCAGGTAAAACCTCAGGGAGGGATTGAGGAATCCAAAGCTGGTTGGTTTCAAAGGCTAACTGGTCAGACCAGACCCCTGAGCTGTGGTCAGAAGCCTGGCTCAACGTCACGCAGACTCAGCGCCCTAAGTGCCGGGTGGGGCCGGTGGTGTCCCCTTTGCAGGCTCTCGTTGGGGATTCACTGTAGCCCGTTAAATGCAGCAGAGATTCCAGCCCCTTAGCCCTCACCCTGAGTTTTCAATGACACAAATCCCGGGAGTGTTTAATTTTCATCTTTGTTTAGGAGGATGAAGGAGGGGCAAGAGGAGACATAAATGCATACTGACTGACACAAGGTCACAGCCAGCACCTCCTCCTTGGAGAGCTATGTGCTCCCACAGTGGTGGCTGGGGGGCTGGGAGGAGACCCTCCGCTGGTCCCAGAGGGACTCGCTCCTCTGACCACAACTGATGGGTTGGACAACAGGTCCAGAGGGAGACAGAGCATCTTTCCTGGGAATTTGGAACTGACACACAGAAATCAAGTTCACTCATCTGGGGATTGGCGAGGGGGAGGGGCGGTGGTTGGAAATCAAAAGAAACCAGAGCATGAGAGAAAGTTAGAAGTGAAAGAGAGAGACAGAGAGACTGAGCTTGTGAGAGCAAATAGTTAGAAAGAAGGCAAACAATCAGGGGACAGAGGAATTCCAGCTCCTGGCTGTCTAGTCTGTCCCAGCCCATCAATGACCCCGCTGGATGGTTAATATCATTCCAGTTTTGCAGATTAGGAAACAGGCTGAAAGAGGTGGGGGCTGGGTTTGGGTGCACAGTTAATTCAAGTGCCGCTAGACCCCTCATTTCCCATTGCCTGAAGGCACCCTAATCCTCACTGGGACCCCTGCGGTCCCCTGACAGCCCAGCACCCTGATCAAATGGCCCCTGCAGGAGTGGGAGAGTGTGGAGAGTTCCCTGCACCGAGATGCCATGCATCAGCAGGCTCCCGCACACCCCAGGTTAACATCTCCCCAGCTGTGCAGTCTCCCGACCCCCATCCCTCCCTGCCAGGCACCCCCGTTCTTACCACCAAGTGTACTGCAGGAATTCAGGCACAGGGATGCCCAAAGCAACACGAGCCCACCAGCTGTACAAACAGCAGACTCCCAGCCCCACCTGGGTTCCGAGGGGACAGTAGGCGTCCTCACCTTTCATGTGTCTAAGACAATCTTCTTCTTCAGCTGGAGGTTATAGAGAAAAATAAAAGGTCCAAAACATAGTTCGGTGAGGAATTCCTCCAAGGACCTGACTCCAGAGACTACAACCAGGTGTACCTACCCCCCGGAAATGGGGTGAAGGTGGATTATTTATCAGCACAACCCCCGGTGGCCCAGCTCCTCGGCTTGGCTGCCCAGAGGTGGCTGGGGGAATGGGTAAGTCCAGGGCACTCAGGAAGAGCACAGAGGACCTGATCTCCCCTCTCCGCACTTGTAAACCCTTCCCCAAATCTCAAGTCATCGGACAGAGAGCAGCCACCACAATAAGGAGATGCTCCTAACTCTTCACTCACTCCTGTCTGTTCACTTACGTGCTGAGCATCCACTGGGTCCCAGGACATGACACATAGGATGGCCGATGGGACAGGCTTGGTCCTTCCCCCTGGACCCTGTTCAATCTGATGGAAGAATGATCACTCATAAAGAGTTTCTCAAAATTATACAGAGACCAAAGACAAACTGCACAGTGAACCAAATTAAAAAATATGTATAAAGATCCCCCAGTCTCCCCGCCTAAGGTTAACAGCATAAAGCAAAAAGATCTTGCCTTTGATCACCAAGGAAGTTGTCACCCGCTCTCAATTGGAAAGGACAGTTATTCTTTGAGCAGGACACAAAAGTGCTCCATCGGATTGGAGCAGGGCATCTACATTCATTCAGCAAATGTGTATAAGCTCCTACTACGTACAGGAGTCTCATAACTAGACCCGTTCCCAAGGCTCTCGGGCTTTATCAGTCAACAAAATAGACATGACTCCTCATCACTGGGGGCTCAGAATTTCAGCAGAGGAAACAGGCAGCATGTTGGGGGTAGCAAGAGCTTGTAAAAATTAAAAAAAAAGTGATATGAGCAAACTCCGGTGATGGCGGTGGGGTGGGAGGCAGGCAGGAGGGAATAAGGCAATCCTGGCAGATCTCAAGGAGTAATGAACTTGAAGCAGAATAGATCCGGAGGAAGAAGGAAGAGCCGGAGCCAGAGGCCCCCAGAGTGAGGGGGAGAGTGTGGGCGGAGAGGCAGAGCACGCCGCGTCCTGGAAGACTTTGTTACGACTTTGGCTCCTAATGAAATGGTGACCCGTTTAGTGAGTTTTGAGGGGAGGGGTGATGTAGTCCAACTTAAGCTTTTGTGTTTGTGTTTTTTTGTGGGAGGTAATTTATTTATTTTAATGAATGTGCTGGGGATTGAACCCAGGATCTCATGCATGCTAAGCATGCGCCCTACCACTGAACTACACTCACCCCCTCAATGTATGCTTTTACAGGCTCCCTCTGACTCTGTGTGAGTGAGAGATTGTAGGAAAGCAAAGATGGAAACAGATTGGTGTCCAGGGAGGGCTGAAGGTGGCTCTTAGGAGGGCGGGGAGCAGGGAGCGGGTATTTAATGAAGACAGAGTATCCAGAATTTTCTAACAAGCTGGATTTGCTCTGTGTGTGTGTAAGAGAAAGAGAGAGAAAGAACATTGTTCCAACATCTGGACCTGGACAATGGGAGGGATGTCCTCTCCACCCACAGGGTATGGGACAAGTTGGGGCTGAGCAGGTGGAAAAGGGCTAGTATCAGCTCAGTTCTTCAATGTCATGGTTAAGGGGTGTATTACATACTGCCACAGAAATGCCTAATAGAGGAGTCTGTTTTCTTTTTCTTTTTAACATTTAAAAAATAAAATTTATATGTATTAATTGTATTATGTGAATGATTTGGGAATTTTATTTCATGCCAAGGTATATGTTATATATAGCCAAATGGAAAATATATCAGAAAAGCAGAGAAATGAGGGCTTTCACATAAACTGACTGTCCATAACGTAGGTAAAATTTCAATAAAACCAGTCTTCAGTGCAAAAACCTCATCTTGGTGTTACATAAAAATAAATGAAAAAGGAATATGTTGATGTCCCATTATTTCATGTTACATAATAGCCCCAAACACAGTGTTTAACTATGAGGCTTGTAGAAATACTATTGGCTTTTTTCACGTAAATACAGAAATGCAGAAAGGGTCTAAGGTAGAATAAGCATCTTAGTGGAAATAATACAGATTTGAGCATTTTACATGATATATATATTTACTGATACAAAATTTGGAAAAGTAATTACATAGTAGAATGTATGAATGTAAAAGCAAGATGAATGAAAAAGAATGTGAGTCTCAGGGATAAAGGTCCAAATGGAAAGGGCAAATCAGGGAGTTTTGGAGAAATCGAGAAATTGATGGCATGCCAATTTCCAAGGCTGAGTTGCTTCCACCAAAGGAATAGCAAAGAGAGAGATGAGAGGTCCAGGAGCCAACCCTGGGGCACACCCACAGTATATGTTTGGAAAATAGAGGAGACATTGGCAAAGGACCAGCCAGTAGACCAAAAGCAGAAAGCAGACAGAGCGATGGGCTGGAGTTTGAGTGAAGCAGGACCACGGGGAGGAGGGATGGAAGAGCTGGGTCAAATGCTGCTGAGGGGCCAAGCATGATGAGGGCTGAAAATTGACCACTATATTTGGCAACTTGGGGTCACTGATGGCCTTGACAGGGCAGTTTCCACAGAGCGAGGGATCAGGGGAACAGCCAGAGTGGGTGTAAAAGGGGATGGCTCAAGGGAAGATGCAGAGAATGAGTTTAAACACTCATTAAAGATTTGCTGCAAAGACAATGGGGTGGCGATTGGTGGGGGCGAATTAGGGTCAAGGAGTGCTGTTTGTTTCTTTTAAGAGGATGGACTTTTATATACTGATGGGAGCCAACTAGCAGGAGAACAAAATAGATGAGGTAGTGAAAGAGAGGATGGTTTTGGGAGTGACAACCCAGAAAAGAAGGGAGGGACGGGGCCACGGGGACTTTTTGAGGAATTGGCTTTCGATGTCACCTGTAATAAGAGGTGGGGCACCGAGAGTGAGGTCATAGACCA